CCAACCATTTGAAATTGGTTCTTTGTTTACCAACCATTTGACATTGGTTCTTTGTTTACCAACCATTTGACATTGGTTCTTTGTTTACCAACATTTGACATTGGTTCTTTGATTACCAACCATTTGAAATTGGTTCTTTGTTTACCAACCATTTGACATTGGTTCTTTGTTTACCAAGAAGGTGTGGTTACAATCTGGTTGTCAGTGGTTAATGATACAGTTCACTCTTAAAGAAGGTGGTTACAACCTGGTTGTCAATAGTTAATGATACAGTTCACTCTTAAAGAAGGTGGTTACAACCTGGTTGTCAGTGGTTAATGATACAGTTCACTCTTAAAGAAGGTGTGGTTTCAACCTGGTTGTCAGTAGTTAATGATACAGTTCACTCTTAAAGAAGGTGGTTACAACCTGGTTGTCAGTGGTTAATGATAAAGTTCACTCGTAAAGAAGGTGTGGTTACAACCTGGTTGTCAATGGCTAATGATACAGTTCATTCTTAAGGAACCAGGAAGACAGTCCAAAGAGAAGACCCCAAAATTCATAATAAAATTCACTGCCTTTACCATCACAATTAATAATTTGACAAAGTAGAAATATGTCTTTGGGAATAAGTTTTTTTTTTTTTTGCATGTTTCAGTCTATAAGGATTTATCGAGAAGGATAGTCATTCTCCATACATATATTGTTATTAGATTGCAATTTAATCTTCTCACGTAAACAATAATTTAAAACTGTTTCCAATGCATTTTTAAGATAGTATGTACATTATATCAAGATGAAATATTACCTTATCATTGCAAAAAATCAGTTTAAACTTGAAGTCCACGTTCCTCTACTAAGTACGTATCAAGAAATAACTAGTAATACAGAAACACGCTTATTTCTAATGTAAAATTTATTGATTTATAAAATGAATTTTTTAATACAAAACTGAAATTCTTTTGGTTTATCTTTGACAGACTAGTAAATTTCCAAAAACAAAGGTAATACAAATACAAGAATGGCAATAACTGAAATACAATACACCCATGTACGTGACACAAACTACACCATGTATACAAATGTTTATAAAACAATCACAGGTACGTGACACAAACTACATCAAGTATACAAACATTTATAAAACAATCACAGGTACGTGACACAAACTACATCAAGTATACAAACATTTATAAAACAATCACAGGTACGTGACACAAACTACATCAAGTATACAAACGTTTATAAAACAATCACAGGTATGTGACGTGACACACGTACCTCAAGTATATAAACGTTTATAAAACTCACAGGTACGTGACATGTGACACAAGTACCTCAAGTATACAACTGTTTATAAAACAATCACAGGTACATGACATTTGACACAAGTATACATATGTTTATAAAATAATCACAGGTACGTGACTTGTGACACAAGTACCTCAAGTATACAAACGTTTATAAAACAATCACAGGTACATGACATTTGACACAAGTATACATATGTTTATAAAATAATCACAGGTACGTGACATGTGACACAAGTACCTCAAGTATACAAACGTTTATAAAACAATCACAGGTACATGATGTGTGATATAGATAAGTACACAGATCTCTGGTACTTAAGTTTAAATCTCTGATGATAAATACAGTAAAAGAGTAACAGAAAAATGATTAATGTAAAGTTGACGAAAACTTTTCTATGACTTGAAGTTTTGATACCTTTTGTTTTCTGTGAGGTTTCAAATCAACCATCTTATCATTTTAAAGAATAAACACAAATGATGTAAAAAAATGGTTAAAAGTATTAGTCTGTGGGTTTTATTTACATTATAAAGCTTGTTTAATGTCACATGTACTGAAAAGACAGACAATACATTTACAATTTATCTATTTCTCAGAGAAATACATCAACAAAATCAAAACTGAAACCATAAGTGGAAGTTGAACTTCATTAATGTATCAAAAGTGATTTCTAACAGAATATGGAGCATACAAAAATATGGTAGAATATACAGGTCTAAAATACTGTAAGTCGTACAACAAGATCGTAACAGAATATGGAGCATACAAAAATATAGTAGAATATACAGGTCTAAAATACAACAAGATCGCACAATAAATAATCTCATTCTACATTTAGTTTGTTTGTTTTTAAGTGTTATACCACCACGTACACATTTAACCTAAATATTATAACATCAAATATAAGCATTCAGAAATAATAGACCTGTAAATTAACATCAATAACTTCTCATAAAAGATGAAAGTCTGAAGATATCAAAGCTACAGGTATCAAAACTTCGTTTATAATGTTATATCATGCAGGGTGGGGGGGTATTATTATATTATTAGAATACCCTAATTACTGCTAACATTTCATAAACACTGAAAAATATATTTAAAATCTTAAAGAAAATAGCCATGGCACATGCAAGTTTTCAAAATCTAATTTTTTACTATATTGGTATTTACTTGTTCTGTGGACCATGAGCTCGTAAGTCAGTAAACTAGTGGAAAAATCCTGGCCAAAAGTTTCAGCAAGATTTACTGCTATTTCAGTAAATCATTGATCTAAAACAAGTTTGGATACGCACCTGTAGGTGTAAAATGGTGCAATATACGAGGTGAGCTTGACACGGCAACACAAAATGAGCTGAGATACAAGTTAAAACTATATAGAAATGAAGATCCAAAAAACACATCAAAAGATAGTACTTTTTATATGCCATAAAACACTTTCCTAGAAACTTTACACATTTTCGAAATAAATGTCTTATTTTTCTTCTACCACACAGATGGTTATAAAAACTACAGAATTATGACAGTTTTTATTTGTATCTACCTTACGTTAGACATTCATGGCACTGTTTTTATTCTTGACAAGATTTTATTCTCAACTGATGTAGGCACCTATTGATGGACAAGTTAGTGAACTGTAAGGTTACAACAGAATTTTGTTGCCATCTCCTAGATCCAAGGGCCACATTTCAATGCTATGAATATTGTTCAATTACAACATTATATGTTGTAAATATTTTCATCAACAGCTGAGGCCTTAGTAGAAGTATAATGTAGCAAAGATCCTGGTGTACAAGACCTTGCTGGACGAAATGTGGAGAAGCATTCTCTTGAAGAACTTTGTTGAACTGAAGGAGGATTAACAACTCTTGAAAATGGTACTCCACAAATGCTTAAAGAAGGCATAAAGGGTATTACTACAGGGTTGCTCAGGTTGGTGGAGCCAGTGTTACTACTGTGATGACTGACATTGCCTGGATGTGCTACACTCGACACCTGTGTCCGCTTGACTTGCCAGGAACACAAACGGGCATGCAGTTTCTTGAAAGAAGGCCTTCGAGAGGGGTTCTCATGCCAGCATTCCACCATCATGGCATAAATATGAGATGGACAAGATTC